GTACTAAGTTTTCGGTTAATACAATTCTAGCATGAATAATAAACATTTATCATGATATAAGGAAATATAAATAACAATTTTATTATTTTCTTTAGGGCATATTTCCTTCAGGTTGTTTACCCCTGAGCGCCGATGGTTTGGTTGGGTCACTCGTATTAGAGGCTATTTGGATTGGGGCCATTGCATGCCCTGCCAATATATTGGCGTTGACTGAAGACACTGTATCGCATTTGGATGGGGACCAAAATTTTGTCACGCCACCACACCCCAGCCTCTCCTCTGTATCTTCTACGCCAACGCGCTGGCGTAACGGGGGTGGCCAAATTTGGCGCCAATATTTTGGCACGCCTATGACGCCAACGATTTGGCAGGGTGATTCTGGGCAAGAACCAAACAGGCCCTTAGTGCCTTCTGTTTCAAAATACCAATCATGTTAGTTTCGTAGGAGAAGCCTTGTGTATTTACTGCCCTTTGTTTCAAAATATCAATCATATTAGGTTTCATTAGGAGAAGCATTGGCCAACAATTACTCTATCAGTATGAACTTTTTTTTTGACATGAAATTGATATAACTGTATTCATCTTTCAAAGTACATTTTGCGTGGCTATGATTTTGTATTAATTGAGTGCCGATTGATCTGTATTCAGCTTGTACGTAGATCTCTTTTGCTTTCTTTGGAAAACTGGTTGAATGTCCGCGTACACATAATTGCGCTGTCTCTGTCTCTCCATTCCCCCAACTCGCATGCCGAAATCACGATCTTTTGCATAAGTGGAAGAGGGCGCTTCCGCCTTCCGGCTTCCGGGTGACCCATGGCACCCACATATGTGAAGAAGAATCCACGCTTTGGTTCTCTCCGATCGACCTCCGAGACCGATGGGCGACGCTGAGCCGACCTATTCCTGCTTCTGCACCTAGTGTCCATTGACTGTTGTTACATTCCATCTCCACGATCATCCGTCCGAATCACGGTCGAGATTACGACTGTAACCGAGAAACGGGCCTAGTGCTACTACTTTTCTGTTGATTCTGCATGCACTGACCGCGTGCTGCGCCTGAGGTCGGTCGGGGAGATATATACAGCCGAAAGAAGAAGAGATCATCATATGCTAAAGCAAGCGTGTGCATGCACCCTACCCAGTGCTTTGTACCCATCGACGATGCCACGATGGTGCCCATCTTTTTCTTTCCATGGACCCGGGATTAGCACTAGCATGATCGACACCGATTGCAGCGAGCGAGGGCACTGCACTCATTAGGCGTGTACGGTTGGCACCAAAATGTGACGCTCCCACTTTCGCGCCGCGCATCCAAATCTTAACGGAATCGGTTGCCTGAAATTTTGGGAGGTATCACTCACATTTAACTAGCCTTAGGGGATTTGCTTCTAATTGTTGTCTTTATTTTCATTTTTGCGGGTGTCTAATTTCCGATGAAAAGTATATATTAATATTGCCAAGGTATCAATTACACCCAGCCCCTGCAACAACGCAATGCCCTAATGGCAATGACGGGTGCACACAGCCAAAAAGAAAAAAAAAAGTCACGCTACAGCGTTCGAGGACTTGAAGCAGCAACACAACCATCACCAAGACAACACCTGATGTTGAAAATTAATTATCGTTCGCTGGTAGGAAAACTCTTATAGAAATTTCACGTTAGTGGCGCCGCTAATTTCCGTGATGCCGACGCTATTTTCGCAAAATAGCAGTGGCGTCGGAAATTCCATAACCGTTGCTATTATCGGGATATTACAGGCATGCCAAAGAACATCAACGTTAGTAATGCATGGGCTCCAGCAGACGGACAACCATGGATGTACTAGTGGCGTATGTGGTCCCTAACGTCGTTAAGTTTAGGCCAGTTAGTGCCTTCGGCATGACGATCGAATGCAGATAAGATTTCTAACGTTAATTGCAATGCACGCCCTCTTCTCCCCCCACCGTACCCCCTCCCCCAAACCCACCCGACCTCCTCTTCCCCGCATAGTCGTCGCCCCCTATACTATCAAAAATCCACTTCACTCCGCCCCCTGCTCGCACCACCATCACGCGCCACCACTGTCGTCATCCTCCACCATGGTCGCCGCAGCTGCCGTGCTCCTCCACGCCTTACCCGAGGAACAAAATGAAAAATTAAAACAAATAGAAAGTTCTAAAAAAGTATAAGGAAGAATGAATTGAGAGTATTGATATTATCAAAAATAAGAAAAATGAAATAAATAAATTTAACAAGCATGACAAGAAAAATGCACACAATTCGCACAAGAATTAGAGCTTTTTACATATATGCAAAAGCAATCATATAGTAGTATAATTAGAACAAAGGCTACACAAACTATTGTGAGTGTCAGCACAAAAATTGGGGATGCCACAAAAAATTTGCTATGGTGTGAGCATGAAATTGCCATGACAAAAAAAAAACAGAACTAAAAGGTTGAGTTGCCATGGGGTCCTATCTAAATTTGCCACAAAGGTAATGATTGATTTCCCATGTCATAGGAAGAGAACAAAATTCCATGTGAATTAGTACAAAGTGTTATATGGTCCATTGGAACTTTAAGGAAAAAACAAAATCCTCGCAAATTTTGAAAAAAAAAAGTTTGTACTAGTTACGTGGGAAATTTAGAAAATCTTTACTTATAAAGATTGGAGTTGGTGGTGAGTTCACATGCGAGTCCAACATCCTTTTCAGATAAACAAATACACGCATCCCCACATGTGAAACTAGCAATCTTTCAAGAGACGTATAAACATGTGCATTTTACTCACATGTGGTATCTATCATACATAAACAAATACACTATTTCATGTGTGAACAATTTTTTTTTGTAAAAGGCACAAATAACAAGCACAAAAGTGTGACTTCAACTGAAAATCAGTTTTGGTTTTAGTTTCTCTTCCCGACCTAGTATGGTCATTTGAAATTCTCTGACGTTGCATGCCTCTAAACATAATTTTGCATTTTTTTTTCTAATTGTAAATCACACAACGGCCACAAGGACAGTAATGCTACTTGACCACCTCCTAAGTCAATGGCTCTGTGGCAACCCGCAGGCATCATGCTAGTAAAATCAAAAGTTCGTAATGGTCACATGGTTAAAACTAAATAATATATGTTTTATTAGAACATGTCAATTTAAAAAAAATACATTGTTCACATGGCAACAAATAGAAATTTGTTCATATAAAACATGACGGACAATTGCGAAATTATGCAATCGTCGCATGGCAGAAAAAAATACACGAATTTTGATCTCAAAACAATGGCAAATGTAGAAATTGACATGGTATTTAACAAAAGATGCACATACTAGCTATCTAGAATATAATTTTGCCATGGTATCTAACGAAAAAGGATTTGGCATGGAATGCACAAATAATTTTTGTGGTGTACAATAAAACTGTCATGGTTAAGATCTAAAAGAGCTATATAACATAAATTTGTCGTGTTCCATAACAAAAATGTGTTTTCACCAAAAATCATGGAAATAAAAATAAAATTCTATTGCAGCTGACATAGAAAATCTGTCTTAGGGACATGGCAAACTTTGTATTGGTGACATGGCAAACATTTTTTTACATGGAAACTTTGTATTGGTGAAATGGCAAAAATTGGATTGGTGACATTGCAAAAGTTATAAGATTTTTTCCATGGCAAAACTTTAACAAATTATTAATCTTTTCCCGCGGACATAAACTGCTACGTGAACATCACAAAAAATAAAGGGTTTTGTTCGCGTACGACACCGAGTGGGTTCACACGAAATGTTTGATTCCTAACATTCGTTCGTTAGCATTTGGGAAGAAGAAAGTGACTAAAATGAAAAAGAAAAGCAATTGCCAAAGGGCTTGGTTAGGCCTCAATCGAGTGAGACTTAACCCAGTCTTACTCAAGTGTCATAAAATATAACAAAAATGATTTTTTTGCACATATGTCAATGCAAGATCCACGAATAACATCGAGACATCCTCTATAACACTAAGCTCTCTAGTTTTGAAGCGCCCACGTTCAGTTGAGGTATCCAATTAGAATTGGGTCACCCGATTTTGATCGGGTCAACAATTTCTTAAAGCTCTCTCATTCAATTCTCTCATACTATACACTACGCTTCCTAATTTTGAAGGCCTCATAATTAACTGAGGTATTCAATTTAGAATTGGGTCAATCAATTTTGAGCGGGTCAACACTTTCTCAAACTCTCCCGTTCAATTCTTTTAATTCACCATGTCCCTTAATTTTGAACCTCTTTCAATCAGTTGAGTTATTCAATTTTGTATTTGGTTTATGATTTCGACCGGACCAACGGTTTTTCAAATCAATCAGCAACAACCGGCCTATAAAAACATATCAATCCCGTGCACCCTCCCACCACCAGAGAAAAGAAGCGCCACCATGTGATATTGTAGCACCAATATAGTAGTACATGCGACTACCGACACAAACATTTCCTTACATAAATATAAATTGGTTAGCGGATAACACAGAATCACACCATGAAAGGCCCACCAAATAATCACATTATAAATAAAAATAAAACACACTCTATCATCTCCCCACCCGCCAAACTAAATATTTCATCAGTCAAACTATAAGCGGTATTAATTTTCTAGAAAGTCAAATTTCTTTAACTTTGACCAAGTTTAGAGCAAAAATATCGATATCCACAATATTAAACAAAACAGTATGAAAATTTGTTTTATGATGAATTTAAAAATACCGATTTGATATTATGGATTTTGATATATCTATCTACAAATTTGATCAAAATTAAAAGATTTGACTTTTTAAAAAATAATCATCTTTTGAAACGAAGAGATTATTTTTTGAAGAAATCCAACAACACCAACAGCGAAGCAAAACGCGCCCAATCCTTCTAGTAACTATAAGTCTAAGTCAGACAAGATTTAGCAAGACTGATTGCCAAATAGCAAAACCGAATCTTCTTAGCTTACCCTTCGATCGTGTCCAAACCACAACCACAGCCTGCCACGTACCGATGCGTGCGGTGTTGGCATATTTTGTGCTGCTCCACGTCGTTCTCCATTGCCTAGTTAATACCACACCCCGGGGGCAACGCAACCCAAGCAATTTTGCCGCAAAAATTCGCGCGTGTTGTCCGTCGGCGATGGACCAGGTGCAACGGAAGAGCATCCTGAGGTCAGCCAAGACGCTGTCGCGGACGCGGTCAGAAGAGCAACCCATGCTGTCTGACCTCGGTCAGCGGCGGGAGGTGGTTCTGAACATCGATGGGAACGGCAACGCTCCCGGCGCGGACGTCGTCGGAGCGGCGGGGAAGCCGACGGCCAGCAGGACGTTGTCGACCGCCGCCAGCTCGCCGGCCCAGGGGTGGGCCGACGCGAGCTTCGACTTCTGGAGGAACGAGGGCGGCCCCGCGCGCCGCGTCGACGACTTCAGCTTCAAGAATCGGTCGGCGTCACCGCAGCCGCAGGCATCGTCCCCTTCGATCTCGCCGAAGAAGAAGGCGGAGGAGGTCGGCGTGGACCCGCCCACGCGACTCATCGGGAACTTCCTCCGGAAGCAGAAGGCCGCCGGGGCCGAGCTGTTGCTCGACCTCGACATGGAGCTGGACGACATCGGGAGGTCGTCACACTCACACGCGTTCTCATCCAACTCCCGAGAGCAGGAGGCGCCGCGTGTCTCCTTCAAGGACCGACAGAGCTCCTCGTCCTCTTCATCCGGCTCCGATTCCGATACCGGCGGCCGCCGTAGGCCCGCCGGCGATGACGGAATATGCAACACCTCTGCTTCCACTCCAGCGGGACCGAGACCATTACTGCGAGCCAAGACGCGCTCCCGGCTCACGGACCCGCCGCCGCAGTCACCCGCGGCCGTCGACGAGGAGCGCAAGAAGTCGTCTGCCATGCGCCCTCCCAAGTCCGGCCAGTTTTCTGGGCGTATGACCGGCAAATCCGGCCAGTGGCACAAGTCGGGTCCCATCGAGGAGGAGGAGGAGGACCCGTTCATCGACGACGACATCCCCGACGACTTCAACCGCGGGAAGCTGGACGCTCTCACCATACTGCAGTGGGTGAGCCTGGTGATCATCATCGGGGCACTGGCGTGCAGCCTCGCGATAAGGCCGCTGTCACGGAAGCGGCTCTGGGAGCTGCACCTCTGGAAGTGGGAGCTCCTCGTGTTGGTGCTCATCTGCGGCCGCCTCGTCTCCGGCTGGGCCATCCGGATCGCGGTCTTCTGCGTGGAGCGCAACTTCGTGCTGCGCAAGCGCGTGCTCTACTTCGTCTACGGCGTGCGCGGCGCCGTGCAGAACGCGCTCTGGCTCGGCATGGTGCTCGCCTCCTGGCACTTCCTGTTCGACGAGGGCATCAACACGGCGGTGCTGCCCTACGTGACCAAGGTGCTACTCTGCCTCCTCGTTGCCACGCTCGTCCGCCTCGTCAAGACGCTTCTCCTCAAGGTGCTCGCCTCGTCCTTCCATGTCTCCACATACTTCGATCGGATCCAGGAGGCGCTCTTCAACCAGTACGTCATCGACACGCTCTCCGGGCCACAGCTGGTCGACGAGGACTACGTGATCGCCGAGGTGCGCGAGCTCCAGCGCGCCGGCGCAGACATCCCGAAAGAGCTGCATCCCGCCTTGCCAACCAAGAACCTGTCGGGGCAAAGGGGCACCCGGGTCTCGGGTTTGATCTCCAGGGGAATCAATCCGCTGTCCAAGGAGAAGAAGCGGCGTGAGGCTGATGAAGGGATCACCATTGACAAGCTCCATAGGCTCAACCAGAGAAACGTCTCGGCATGGAACATGAAGAGGCTCGTGAAGATTGTTCGTTTCGAGACGCTCGCCACAATGGACGAGCAGATCCAGCAAGCAACTACAGGGGACGGGGCCGAGTCAGGGACACAGATTCACACCGAATATGAGGCGCAGCTGGCCGCCAAGAAGATCTTTCACAACGTAGCCAAGCCTGGTTCCAAGTAAGGACTTCTGCTTTAATGAGATTATATCTTATACTGTAGTAGTAATTTACAAGTTACATCATTTTATATTCCTATTGTCTAGGCTCTAGGAATTTTGAGCTCAACAAGTAGACCTATATGTATAGTACAGACTGTACGGTATAATTTTTTTTTATTTTAATTTCATATAAAAGCATGCTACATAATTGTTAGACAACTTTATAGTGCACTTCCGTGTCAACTACAAAAGTGGAATGAAAAATTATAAAACTTTACAGTAATACTCCCTTTGTAAAGTAATATAACATCGTTTAGATCACTACTTAGTTCTCAGGATCGTGACAATTAATTTACTAATTCTGATTCTTAATCGTAAATGTATAAATCATAATGCAGGCACATATACTTGGCAGACATGATGCGCTTCATGAAGCAGGAGGAAGCCATCAAAGCTATGCATCTTTTTGAAGGAGCACAAGAGCACTGTAGGGTCGGCAAGAAGTCTATGAAGAACTGGGTGGTACTGATCTTATTATTGACCCTTTCTAGCTATCTTAGATGCATCGACCATAAAGATGTCATTTCTAATGTTATATCATATGGTTCGTTCTGTAGGTGAATGCATTTAGAGAGCGCAAAGCTCTTGCCCTCACACTTAACGATACAAAAACAGCAGTTAACAAGCTCAACCAGATGGCCAATGTTGTTGTTGGCCTCATAGTGTTTGCTCTTTGGCTTCTAATTCTCGGCGTAGCGACGACACATTTCTTTGTCTTCCTCAGTTCGCAGCTTCTTGTGGCAGTGTTTGTATTCGGAAATACCTTGAAGACGATTTTTGAGGCAATAATCTTCTTATTCGTGATGCATCCTTTTGACGTCGGCGACCGCTGTGAAATTGAAGAGGTTCAGGTAATGAATATATTCATGATGCATCCTTTCGACGTCGGTGACCGCTCTGAAATTGGCGCTACTTATTTATGTAATCTGATATTGCCTTGCATTTGTCGATTGACGTTGTAAGCATTTGAATTTCAGGTCGTTGTGGAGGAAATGAATATCATGACAACAATCTTTCTTCGTTACGATAATTTGAAGATCTATTACCCAAACAGTGTGTTGGCCACCAAACCAATTTTTAATTTCTACAGGAGTCCTGATATGGGAGAAGGAGTTGACTTCTCTGTCCATGTTGCCACCCCGCTGGAAAAACTGGCGCTCATGAAGGAAAGAATACTACGGTGCGTACCGGTTCTTCTGTCATCTCAGTTTCAGATATGTTCACAAATTGGGAAACACAGTGCCATTTGCTACTGATCTTTTGCCACATCAGATTGGAGTAACAGTAGTTTTCTTTTCTTCCTATGATCCAGTTACATTGACAGTAAGAAGGAACATTGGTACCCCGGTGCGATGGTTGTCCTCCGGGATGTAGATGACACCAACAAGCTAAAAGTGTCCATATGGCTCCGACACACACTCAACTTTCAGGACATGGGGATGAGGTTCGTGAGGAGGGAACTCGTGCTCCAAGAGATGATCAGAGTCTTGAAGGACCTCAATATTGAGTACCGGATGTTGCCCCTTGACGTGAACGTGCGAAACGCGCCCCCTCTGCAATCCACAAGGATGCCGACGACATGGAATTATTCATGAAGTGGCGGGGGAATCCCGTTATGATACCACATATACAACAATTACCGTCTCTATGATGTGGTGAGAACTGGTAGCAACTATAGCCAGTAGCTAATTGAGTTGTCAGTGTGCATGCAGCTGCGGCGACCATTGTAAGAGTGTGTTGTGTGGTATCAAAAGCTTTAATACACTCGAAGATAGGCATACAGATAGTGGCCGTTCAAAATATTGAAAGCAGTCAACTGCATAGTTTAGACAAAGCAATGCTACACTTATGGTTTGACGATTACAGATTAACATGGTTATCACTGAGGCCCACCGAGAAATTCAGAGGGGATTAGTGGGTGGTTAGTTGAGGATCTCATCCATAGTTAGACCCCTTATGATGATGCTCTTAGGTCTAGCAATTTTTTGGTATACACAAGCCTGCCGTGTTAGCACTTATCTTGGCATTTCGTTTCTGCAAGTTTTGTTTGAGTTTCACACGTATTTTAGGTGATCATTTAGCTTGTCAGGCAGTTCTACGTGTTAGGATCCTTGTTACGACTAGGGTTGCAGGCGAAGATGGTCATGATACAACGCAGTTTGCAGAGCTGAAACATGTAGCTATGGTGAGAAAATTATCGTAGAGACCATGACAAATTTATTGATCACATCATGGTAAATTATTATTTTTGTAAAATATCAGCTTCATTTCCATGGCAAATTTTTGGCATACGATATCTTTTGTAACGTAGAACTTTCCATGTAAGCACTACATTTTTTTATACATTTGCCATGATTAATAGAGGAATCATTTTTTTCTTAGTATGCATTGTGAAACAGACATGTAGTTTCTTAGCCTGAGCTCATATGAGCTCGGGTGAACAGTAAAATCAGAAGAAAAAGATTATAAACAATTCAATTTTTTTTGAATTGTTTAAGTCACAAGCATTGACAATTTTTCATCGTGAAATGACATTTGCAGAAGCCGTGGCTAAAAGAACAAAATTGATGCTCCAAAAATGTCATTACGAACAACATTTTGGAGTGATGATTTTGTTTTTTTGCCACAGCTTCTACAAATGTTATTACACAATGAAATTTTGCAAGCGTTGAAAACTTTTGTCAATGTTTGTCACTAAAAATATTCAGAATTTTTTGAATTTGTGTTCCATATTTTTTTGATTTTACTGTTCACCCGAGCTCATTTGATCTCGGAACTAGAAGTAGAAGAGTACTTTCGTTGTGAAACCCCCTACTTTTATAATTTTTGCCATCATCTAGATTCTTTTCTGTTACATTTGCAATCAAACCATTCTCTGATTGTTTATAAAAATTCGTGCATGACAAAAAAATGTAGAAACCATGACACATTTCTTGAATATACCATGGTAAAATTATAAATTAGATGATGCCAATTTTATAAAGTATAACATGACAATTGTAAATTTATGCTTATCTGCATTTTTCTCTATCAGAAATTATTATATTTTTGTTTATGGCAAAAAAATGAAAAAAAAAGCTAATTGGGCTAGTTTGGGAAAGTTGCACGTTCACTTGTTCGATCCATCTGAAGGGGAATGAAATGTTCGCTCGTTTCTCCAGAGCTGATTTTCCATCCTTATTTTGCTGTAAAAAATGGATGCCAATATGGGCGAAACATTAGATTTGTCGGTTCCTTCGAGCGATTTTGTTCGCTAGGAGACCCCCCCCCCACCACCACCACCAGTGCAACCCCAGGACTTTTAATGGGCCTCCGCTTAAACCAACGTCACCGTTATGCCAAAAACAAAAAAAGACATAAAAGGCCCACTATCCCGTTGACTACTACCAAGCCTTAAATCTGAAATTTGGACGTGATTTTGAATAGCAAAATGAAATGTGTTTTTTTCTATAATGTGTATAATAAACTACCATCATGTTCAAATGGATCAGAACTTAAAACTTCAGAATTCTGTTTTAAGCTAGATCGGTACGAGTAGACCACGCCGTTATGAAGCTAAAAAAATACCAAAACATCAAAACACATAGAAGAAAACTTAACAAACTATGTTTCAACATAACTGCCATTGTTGCATAAAAAAGATGGCAAAAAATATTGAAAAATAAATTTATAAAATGTCAAATGAAAGAAATTTGGCATGACATGTTCACGTAATTTTCCATTGTATACACAAAGAATTTGCAATGATTTTTTCAATAAAAATTGCCATGTTTCAAAAATAAATTACAAAACATAATTTATTATGGTGTATGCGATAAAAGTTTCCTTGGTGTGTACAAAACTAATGTGCCGTGGTTCGAACAATAAGTTCGCCATGGTTAAAATAATAAATTTGCCATGGTCCAAACAATAATTTTGCCATGGTTGAAAAAAAATAATTTTGCCATTGTCCAAAAATGTAAATTTGCCATGGTGAAATATATATATATTTTTCATGGTCCAAATAATAAATTTTCCATGGCCAAAAAGTTATGCAGGTCATGGCAAATGTGTATAATAAAATGCTTGCATCAAAGATATTATACATACCATGGCAACACTTTAGTGCCCATATAGCAAATGCTATCTGCATTGCAAAACAATTAAAATTAAGGCAAAACTACCTATGAGGATCATGGCAAATGTAGATAAAAGTTCATGGTCCAAAATGTTGAGCTCCATAGGCTCAACCAGAGAAACGTCTCGGCATGGAACATGAAGAGGATGGTGAATATTGTTCATTTTGAGACGCTCGCCACAATGGACGAGAAGGTCCAACAGGTAATGGCAGGGAAAAGGGTTGAGCCAGGGACACAGATTCACAGTGAATATAAGGCGCAATTGGCTGCCAAGAAGATCATTCACAACACATTCCCAGAAATGTTGGTTGATGTTTGTTAATTAGTTAGTGAATATTCACAACGTTTTGAACATTTTTAATTCACTGTTTTATGACAATATAATTTGACTTGTTATTTGAAGTTGTATTTGAACTTAGTTTGAAACAAATGGGGTTTAGCAAAGTTTAATTATGATGACCTGGCATCATTAGTGTGGGGTTACTGTAGCATGACAGTGGGGGTGTCACAACCTGCTTCCTAGCTACTAAGTAGGATACTGAACAGAAAAACAGACCTACATGATGGTGTAGACTAGAGAAAATGGATCACCTCACTCCTGGTGTACATATAACAGGAAGATGCAACGTGTCTACACAGCTTCGATTCAACGCCGTGTTGTGTTGTGCTATGCTCGCTCCAAATAGGAGTAGAATGATGATCAGAAGAAGCTACACCTAATTAACTGAATCATCATCAAGACTCAAAAGTAATTCTCACGTACCACAGATGGATTGCCTTCAGCTTGCTTCTTCTCACATAATTGGAAAAAATCGGCCAAGTCATTTAGATTTATTACCAGCTTTTTGCTCTGAGAGACTACAGATATATGCCGAGAGAGGGAAAAAAGATGTGAAATTAGGGTAGTAGACTGATGAATACTATTCCTTTTCCTTTTTCCAAGAAAGAAGAAGAAGAAGACTAGTTAGGAGAGCTGTGATGGACAGCTAGAGATGATAGCATTAGCATAGTAGATAGGTACCCCCTTTGTAAACTAATTAATATAAGAGCATTTAGATCACTAAAGTACCGATCAAAACACTCTTATATTAATTTACGGAGGGGTACCAAATTAGTCTTGCGGTAAACATACGTTCATCTTGCTTCGAGAGGCGCTTGCTCGCTGTCATTCTGCTCCACCAATCCATACATGTCTAACTAATGTCATGTCTAATTAATTGTCAAGGAGGGAGGGTAAGAAAGAAAGGTAAACACGCACACACACACACACACGCTATCTAGTGGTAAATTTGAAAACACGCACTTGCTTTGCAAAATTCATCACAACTGGTGCACATCACATCATTACCCAGCTAGACGATTTTCATCAACTGGTCGCGCTATTCGTCACCCTGGATGAGGAATAGTTATTCTTCACCTCCTCTATTGTACCATCAATGCACCGTAATTTTACGTTTCGTAAGTTTTGTTTTATTTCCGACGCAAAAAGAGACCGTAAGAAAATATATAATCGCCGTAAAAAATATTTTATGTTATGCAAAATTACAAACGTAAAAACATAGTCTAAAATACACATAAACTGCAAATTTTGTTGTCTTATGACCTATATTTTTATTTTCTTATGTCAAATTTTACGTAGTGAATCAATAGAAATGTAACTATTTGAATTCCAAACATAATTTAATTATGAAATGATTGTAAGATTACCTCGGGTGAAGAATAACTTATTCTGCACCCTGGGTGATGAATACTAACA